AACACTTGTTTGTCCCACCGGATCCAGCTCCGACCGACCCGGTTCTCGCCACGCTTGCAGAGACTGTAGAAGCTCCTGCTCCTCCGGACCCTCTGATGTCAGCCTCTAACTGTCGAACAAAATTTTTCATTTCCTCTAATGTCATTCCTCTATTTTGGCTATTTTTAGTCATAATCTCCATCTCTCTAATTCGCGGGTATGCATCTTTTACTGCCTTCATAAACGCGGACGTTTTCTCAGCATCGGTGAGAGGAATAGCTGTATCACATAACTCATATTCTCTTATGATTGAGTCAAACTTGTCTAGGAACACAGAGATTTTATCCTTCTTATTTATTTTAATACTATACAGCTGTTCTCTCACTTTTGCGTCGTCCGTGTTAGTTTCTATTCTTCTATGCTCTCTAATTTTAGTAATTATCTCTCTAGGATCATTTACGTTTAGTATTAATTTGTGATAATCTTCGTCTAAATGATTAATGATAATATCTCTAACTAATCTATTTCTTTTATCTAACTCGTCTACATCGTAAATTCTTTTGGCTTTAACATTAGGGCCAATCACATCTAATAGCTCTTTCGCGGATAATTCTGAGTTCAGTCGGTCCAGCCATACGTTGAGATTAGCCTTAGAAGTAAGGGTGTAATCCCTCTTGAATGACGCTTTTGATGTGGAGTTCGTACTTTCCAGCGATTTAGCTAGAGCACCAAAAGTTTGGTGGAGCTGATTACTAATATCATTCGTAAGGCTGTTCTGACCGTTCTCAAGATTCGTACTCTCTACGTTGGTCCTATCGGCTCGAATTGGGTTTTCTGTTACTCTGGTGTTGTCTAGGTTTCGTGTATCTTCCTATAAAATTCTGTTGATGGAAAAAGGGTGTTCTCTAACATTAAGTAGCGGTTCTCTAACATTAAGTAGCGGTGAAGAGGTTATAACGCTCGAGTTTAAGTTGGTATCTTTATTATTATTATTAGGTCCTACCTCTAATCTTCTAATATCGAGCCTCTTCGACTCTAACGAGGCCTCCATAATAGTTTTGGCGTCCTTTAGAGTTTCAGTGATCTGAGGCCAGGCCCTAGCCTGAACCTCAGCCACTTTCTCGATGGTCGCCAGGATTTTATCAATCCTGGCTTCCCTTGCATCATCTCTAGAGGAGCTTGGCAGTCTCAGGGTTTGCCGGTGAGGGACGATTAGGCGATGGTTTCGCCTGCCTCTGGTCTCAGCGGTATGTTGAGCAGTGGTGACGGGTGCCACAAACTCAGGGGCTTGGTCTTCCGATGCTGCTCCAGGTACTGTCGAGGCGACACTAGATGTTGACGTGTCGCTGTCTACTCTTGATGGTGCTATAATACAGTTTTCTAACTAAACATTCGGAATTTTTCTCTAATTGGTCTTTAATTACGGATCCGCACTTTATCTCTCTAAGACTGTCTTATAGTATTATTCTAAACTCGAATAAAAGGAGATACAGCTTTTATTAAATATGTGTACCTGTCTCGTCAGTACCCATGATGCTATGACCGGTGTTCTGGTCTGCATCGATCAAGCCCTCCATCTCCTCTGCAGCTTGTTGATTGTTGTTAGCCATCTCTATAAAAATATTACCGAATGTTTCATCTTTAAAAGAGCTGCAGTGTGGTTTCATTCTATTATCTGTCAGATACATCCGACAGGTATAGTCCGAGAACCGACATTCAGCTATCAGAATGGCAGATACTGTTCCCGTGATCCCTCTTTTCAGATGGCCATACGTAGCGCAAGTTACTTAGAGGGGCGATCGCTCACGTTCGCAATAGCAGACCGATCCTTTAGTTGATTGTCAAAGTCATTAGAGATGTCGACTATACTTAGTGCAACAATCTCGACTTTTGTAGGAGAGGATGTTCTATATATATATATATATATATATATATATATATATATATATATATATATATATATATATGTATATATTTGTCAATGCTCTATTCATGCCTTAAATGATAAGCTCTATTTGTTTGAGTTTAATCTCTAAATATCCCTAATTATATTAATATTAATTTGCTGAAATTTAATTTGATTTACAAATTTTAAACATATGTATGTATGTATATATATATATATATATATATATAATGATATTTATTATAATTAAATTATTGCATTCATATATTATTTAAATTGTTTAAAATAATATTCGGTATTCTTATTTTATGAAGTGCATGCTATAACGCGCAGGCGTTCCCATACCGGGTCACTGCCTCGTATCTGACACATCACTCTATGTGTACCGACTTTAGGTTGTGTCACTTTATCAACGTGAACACACCTTAGCAGCATGCGTTCTCGAATAATTCTCCCTCTATCTGATTCGCGCGCACTCTATCTCTCTGTCTCTCTTTGGCTTCCTCTTTGTGACGCGTGCGCAGAGTGTTGTCTTTGTCGCGCGCTTTCTTGTGCGCACATGTTTAGCCGGGTGTCATGGCGTCGAACCCTTTGTTTAACGGTCGCACATGACACCGAAATTTGTTTCGCCTGTAATTCGCGAACTATTATGTGTCACTCCTGGAACGCATCTAACTTTCACTCTTTCGATTTCAACTGATTATTTTACACTTCTATCAATTTTCTTTATTGCTTTAATTCTTAAGGACAAACGCGACAGAAAATCCGCACTTTTCTGTTTATTCTCTAATCGTGTTTAACTATTCTACAGCTCTACTTGATTGTTACTATATTTGTCTCTATTACGATTCCAGCAACTTACGTTATTACTTTTTATGTCAACAAAACGAAACGCAAAAAGATAAAGAATTTACACGGCACTATATAATACTTTCTTTTGTTGCATTGTTAATTTCGCGTTATTAATTCCTGTTATTATTTCTCTACTTTGTTTTGTCTGTAGAGCTTCCAGCTACTACACAAAGGAAAGAGTTCAATTGCTCTTTGTTGCGAGCTCATGTGGTTCAAGCGAGTAATTTTTATTTTTAACACTTTAGTATTTTAGTTAACATACCTCTATAGATTTTTGATAGATGCGCAGCGGAAGCGTGTCAGGGCCGATAACCTGTTGGATTGGAGCAAATGATTGAGAACACTAAATTTACAAATGTTAAACTAAAGAAAGTATAATTTATTACGGTCTATGAAAAGTTACAAAGTAAAGTTAGATTATTATAATGAGAGCTCTATATCCACTGGTGGTTGCTGCTGGAATGCCGCGCTAGTTTGAGCGGCAGTGCAGCAAAGGAAAGGTGGCGTGGTGAGCGCCCGCGCACATGCGCACAGTACTTTCAACACAAGTCACAATCAAATCAAATATCACAATAAAGTCAAAAATACATTGTTAAACTCATCTTATAACTTAACATTCGTTTAAATACTCAAAATTCAAATCAGACAACGACTATGAAATAATGCAAATCAAACAGTGTCTGCTACCTTTTATACCAAAACAAATCACGGGTAGACACACAATCAAATGTATCCCCTCTCCTATGCCAAGAAAACCGGTACATTAAGCATCATATATTTCACTATTTTCAACATTTTGAAAACAATATTTATGACCGTTCGATATAAATAGTTATTTTTAAAAATAAATATGCACATTTTTGATGACGTAATCAAACACGCATTGAAATATCAATGTTGTCAAATAATGAATCATGTGTTAAATTTTACGATATATTGTAAACAAGCCTTTTTACTGTCTATGTATGTGTAATTTGAATAAATTAATTTATAGCTACGTAGCATCATTGCCTTTTTTATATTGATTTAATTCCTTTTAAAAGTTTAGAAACGCTGTCTATCTAAAAAAACAGTAAAATCTAAGATTGAGGCACATAGTAATTATGAAAGGAGTAATAGTATTACATATATATAAATTGAAATTTGTTTGAATATTGACGCAACTCTATTTTGTAAAAAATTTTTATGGTATGTAATCGATAATAATAAATAAAATTTAATGATTAAAATAATCTATTTGAAAGGAAACATTCATGCAATACATAAAACATGAAGTCTATCATCTCCAGTCTGATATTTATGTCTGTTATCTAGTCTTTGTGTACTGTATTGTGACTTTAGACTTCAACAAGAGAAATCTTTATCTTTATTTTTAAAAACTTATTTTTATTTATATTTCGATATTTTTTCATTTTATTGTATATACAATCTGATATTACTGTGATTCCTTAATTAAACAAGAAAAAGCAATCATGTAATACTATAATATTATTATTACTATTGCATTTTACTTTATAGGAAATTAAATATGCATCAATCAATCAATCAATATCTCTATGTCCCTTTATTATACGCAGGCATGATCTGGGTATGCCATTTTCCGGAATTTGTGAGACTCTCGTACGATGCTGACAGTAAGAATTAGGCCCACTATCGTGCTGAGCAATATCCTAGGTCTTCTTAGAGAGTAAAAGTTGTTATGCGGGCGTATATTCATACCGCTTCGTGACAGCGGATATTCTTTAAATACATCGACATTAACATCCGCTACTTAGAAGTCGCTGCGTTATCTTGTGGCATAACATCCGATAATATAACAGGCGGATAAAGACTAATAAATTCGTTTTTATGTAATTGATCCGTGTAATTGCATTTATTTTGATTATTTTGAATCTTATCTCTCATGCAGACTTATGTAGCCATCTGCAGTCTAAGCAATTTGTCCAGCATGTAACCGAAGCATTTGTGTTCCTAACTCAAACGAAATAAATGTTGGAGGAGTACTGAAGGTAAATTTAAAATTTAAAATAAGAGTTTCCGTTAATACATCTTATATGTACTCTCTATAATGAGAGACGAGATAAAAAACTGACATTTGTTGACAATAGTCTACTAACATCGTACGTGACTTGGAAAACTCACTGATAATCATTTATATGAATATGAAAATATATTGATTCATTAATTCATTTATAATATATTCTCTATTGCAATTTATACTTTGTAACCATCTTATATTAAACATTTATTACATTTCTTTCAGACGATTTCTCAAAAAATGGGACTAGACATACGAATGTCTGCATCACTTTGGAAAGATAAAGCTATGATTGAAATGAATCTAGCTGTATTATATAGTTTCCAGGTAACTTGTGCACACGAATAAAATTTGCATGATATATTTTTGGAGTCCTTATAACACCATTAAATTACTTGATAACTTTAATCTAATACTGTTAATTACTGCTCAAGATGCTGACTATACAAATCTTTTAAATTTATTTTCAATTGGTTGCTGAACTATTTAATCCTTCATATACGAGGGTGGTCCGATAAGTACTTAGCCTCACCGCCCGATGGCGCCACTCTCGCACAAGAAATATTCTATCACGTAGTTCAACCTTCTCGATGGTTACTGTCAAGATTTTAACCGGATCGGAGTTGTAGTTTATTTTTGAGAGCGTGTAAAAGCAAGTGTGTCCGTTGATTTTTGAAAAATGGAAAAAGAGCAGTATCGGTCGATGATTCGATTCTTGTTTTTGTAAGGGAAATCGCGCAGCTAAATCAAAAAGCGCTTGGATGCTGTGTATGGTGACTCTTCTCCTTCGATGGCGACCGTCAAAAATTGGTTTAACGAGTTTCAACGTGGTCGCATGTCGATTTTTGAAGAGCCACGTCCAGGTGCACCGAAAACGACTACCACGGAGGATAACGTGACAAAAATTCACGATCTCGTATTGGCAGATCAACGATTGAAGGTGCGCGAGATAGCTTAAATCGTAGACATCTCAAAAGACCGCGTGGGTCATGTCTGCATGAAATTTTGGGCATGAGAAAGCTGTCGGCGCGATGGGTGCCGCGTTTGCTCATTCCGGACAACAAGCGCAACCGTGAGACAATTTTAGAGCAATGTCTGACGCTGTTTAAGCGCAATCCGAAGGAGTTTCTGCGTCGTTTCGTGACAGTCGACGAAACATGGATCCACTGGTATACACCAGAGACCAAGGAATAGTTGAAACAGTGGACTTTACCCGGCGAAGGTGCTCCGAAGAAGGCGAAGACTGCCCCATCGGCCAGAAAGGTGATGGCCACCGTTTTCTGGGATTCACAAGGTGTGATCTACATTGACTACCTGGAGAGGGGCAAAATGGTCACAGGGCTGTACTGTGCCGAATTATTGGCCCGATTCGAAGTCGAATTGTTGAAAAAAGGGCCCCATTTGACGAAGAAAAAAATGCTCTTCCGCCATGACAACGCACCGGCTCACACCTCCGCCGTCGCCGTGACCAAATTGGTCGAATTAAGCTACGAACTGCTGCTCCATCCACCGTATTCTCCAGATTTAGCCCCGTGCGACTTCTTTTTGTTTCCAAACTTGAAAAAGTCACTCGCCGGGCAAAAATTTGAGTCGAATGAGGAGGTAATCGCTGCCACGGAAGCCTAATTTTCAGACCTCGAGGAAACGTATTTTTCAAACGGGTTAAAGAACTTGGAGCATCGCTGGGCCAAGTGTATCGAACTAAAAGGAGACTATGTTGAAAAATAAAACGCCACTTTTCCAAAATTTTCGTTTTTCTTTTGTAGGCTAAGTACTTATCGGACCACCCTCGTACAATACTTTTGTGACGTCGGGGTCACTCTCAGGTACGCTTGGAGTAAGCGTAAACTCAGGGTTGCTCTGATTTGGCTATCGTGTAACACATAAGCCGGGACGAGCAATATTGTTGCGTTGAGAAAACTGTATGCTAACGCGGAATGTAATAACCAAATGTTATTACGAACACACCAGACTCACACTTAATGTGTTCTTAAGGGACTTTAATGAAAATTCACCAGACTCACGCTTCATGAATTTCCAAAAAAAGAAGGGCGGATTGCTTAAAGAAAGAAAAGGATAGCCAGATTTAAGATTTTACTTACTTTTATTTTATCAAATCACTTATTATTAAAGTTGCGTTCTCTCTGCTCTTTGGCCTCTTTCTCTCTCTATATGCTCTGAATATACTTGGGTGACTTTTCTTCTTTGATGCTTCCTCCGGGACTTACTCACTGGTAAACACTTCTTATTAGGGACTTCCTGGTGCTCACTCCGCACTTACTCTACTCTTCAGCCTTGTACAGAGCTTTTTATAAGCCGTGGGTGGTTGGGTGGAAATCCCTTTCCTCAGGCCCATGAAGCGATAACGGCCAAATTTTGTATTGGTGGGAAATTGTCTAATCATATCCAGAATTTCTTTATTGGTCTGTGGGCGTGAATTTTCAGAGAGAGAAAGGGCGGTCCCTTTTTAACTTGGGCCGTTTTCTCCAGAGATGGCTCTTGGAGTGCCACTTTTAAGAGCAAGAGTAACGCTATAGTTTATAATTACTTATACATAATCGTACTAAGCTTAATTAATTATAACGATACATAGTGATTATTATAAACATTCAGAAAAATCCAAACCTTTTACGATTTATTATAAAATACATTATTGTTCTATTTATTGGTTTTTCGGTGACAAAAGATGCGCATTATAATAGCTTACAAAATTGATGAAAATCTATTTAATATTACGGATATTTTCTTAAAAATCGGTGGGAAAAAAAAAGATAGATTGCATTTTTATGGTCCCCTTCCATTATCAGCGTGATAACACTTCACGATGTATATGCGATGATCGTAGGCCCCTGTCAACACATGCGTGTGGGACAAAGCAGGATAGAGCGTTGATTGTAAGCTTGAGTACGTAGGCTCGGGCCACTATCAAAGTTTATATTTCGAATGCGTTTTCATCGTGGGAAATTAGGAAGGTTCCCACTCCGTTCGTCATATTTAGTAATTAAATTAATAGAGAAAAAAAAAGAAGTTACGGCTGGCCGTCACACTTTCGATACAAAATCACAATACTTCTGATAAATTTGTTGTGATTTTTTTCAGTTCGGTAAAAATCGAGTAGAAGAAATAATATTGATTTTAATAATAGCGATTTTGATAAGAATGTTCATTCATTCACATTAGGTTTCTGCAGTAGTGAAACAATTTGGAGTCACATATGTCTAGATTGTCTAGAAGCCGCTACTTTACCAAGCTAATATTTAAGTCCTATGATGGAATTAACATACAACTTCAGGATCATTCATATTGTTAGAACTACTTCGTTCTCATGGTGTACTAGATGACACTTAACTTAACACACATCCTATCCTAATCATTCAGTCCATTTATAAACAAAAACAGCATACAAGAGCCAAAGGTGAAATTATCATAACATTTTTCTAAGTTTTGTTATTATGTTTTCTTTTCTCAGATGACTCACCAAAAATTCTAAAAGAAAAAAATAGCAAAGAAAAATGTATGTCTAAGACGATTTTTATCAAGTTCAATATATTTGCCATTAAAAAAGTAATACGTACGTTTATAAATTCAAGATCATACTCTAGTTAAAGGTTCTTTAATATATAATGTGCATAGATGAAGTCATCGACTACTGAAAATCAAACTGTAGGAATTTTGTATTTCTTTAAAATACGAATTCAGATAAAAAAGGAAAGCGTATACGATAAGTAAATAAACTGAAAGACATAGGATCAGAGGGATAGGGAAGCATGAAAGCATGATCAGAGAGGAATGGAATCACTCGTGATCCCACATGCGGGATCAATGTGGCATCGATGCCGACGTAATGAGGCGTCTACTGGAACAAGGGTAGAAAATCCGATATTCATTTTTATATTTTATAAACAAATAACATAATTATAAGTTCATTAACAAATATTTTAATTATAATTATTCTTAATTATATTTAATCAATATATCACCCAATCTAAAATTTTCTTTTAAATAATATTAAAGCCGTTATACTTAAGAAAATAAGAGAATTTCAAGATAGTGACTCATAATAATCATTAAAAACTATCGTTGATATTACTTTTGATATAAATAAAGTTTATCCTCCCAAAATTGGCTCATATATTTCATACCAAAACAAATAAAGAACAAAAATGCTTGTACTAATATTCAGTAGCAGACAATAAATGTTTCAAATAGTCTATGCTTACCTGTCTATATATAGTTAAATATCACGCGTAAAAAGTTATTAATTACGTAGCCCATGTCAATGAACTTAAATTTGACTGTATAATTTCTCTGTACTGATCAAGAGAATTTCTAAATTTAAACGAGTCAACAGTATTTGAGTAAATTTATATAACCTTAACAAAAAATGCTCTCAATTTCGCAATCTCACTTTATTATTAAATGCAAAGCAAGCTAAATATGTAAATTTTCTCTTAGGGCAAAATGATTATCTTGCGCTTGTTCAAAGTGAGCAAACATGGCATTCATCACGCCGACAGCTTTCTCATGCTCAAAATTTCATGCAGGACATGACCCACGAAGTCTTTTGAAATGCCTACGATATCAGCTATCTCACGCACCTTCAATCGTCGATCTGCCAATACGAGATTATGAATTTTTGTCACATTATCCTCCGTGGTAGCCGTTTTCGGCGAAACTTGGGCGTGGCTCATCTAAAACCGACGTATGACCACGTTGAAACTCGTTAAACCAATTTTTGTCGGTCGCCATCGAAGGAGAAGAGTTTATTGTACACAGCATCCAAGCGCCTTCTGATTTCGCTCGGCGATTTCTCATCCAAAAACAAGAATCGAATCACCGACCGATACTGCTCTTTTTCCATTTTTCTAACACGCCCGCTTTCACACGCGGTCACAACAGAACTATGAGTCCGATTCGGCTGAAATTTTGACAGTAACCATCGACAAGGTTGTACTACATGGTAGTATATTTCTCTTGCGAGAGTGGCGCAATCCAGCTGTGATACTAAGTACTTATCGGACCACCCTCGTATCATTACTCGACCGTTCTTAGATCATAACAACAGAGATAATTTCATTGACAACATTTACATAAATTTGGAAAACTTGAATCACAGGACTTATTTACAATTCCCCTCAATAATTATTATCCGCTTTTAATGTCTTTGAATTGTTTTAATAAAAATACTAATCGACTAAAACGCAAAAACAATATTAATTTTCAAAATCTGATAAATATCGCCAAGACTATTCATTGGAATGATAGTTCATCTATAACTGGTACGAACATAGTAACCACTAAATTAAGGACGTTAGACTGAATTTTTA